CCGATCCCTCTTGGTGGATGCGATGGAAACCAATCGAGTTTGCACTACATGGTATGGGGCAAAGAGAAGAAAGAAGAAGAGGTCGCGTGGGTGGGCCTTAAGGCCACTCAAGTTCACGAGCCCTCAATCATGGACTCATCCAATGCTCGTGACTTGAGACATCACCTCACCGACGAGAACCTTAACTTCAAGGAGGTTCTTGGGTGGACTGAAACTTGAGGAGCAACCGTCCGGCTCACTACGTTAAAGAAGCGCTTGGTGGGAGGCAACCCATCTACCATCGGTTTGTTTTCTTTCCTCTCCAATAAGAAAACCATTGGAGAGATTTTTGTGGTGTTTTGGACATGACCACGCTCTTTCGGAGCTCAACCGTCCTCCACTCCCGAGTACAAACATTCACAACTTGAACGGTAACATCGTTCTATCCCCTTCTTTTACGCCATTGAGGGCAATGTTGAGCTTGAGTGTGTGTGTGTGGGGGGGGGGGGGGGTAGTTCATTATGCATGTGTGTGTGAATGATTGATGTGGTTTTGAATGCTTGGAGCCTTGATGTATGCCCAAATTAGAAATTTGAAAAATTTGAGGGCTCCAAACATAACAACTTCTACATTTGCATGATCATAGTGGCATCTTGTGGTGATTTGTTTTGAATCTCGTGGTTATTAGCATGGTCCATGGATGATTTTATTGTGATTGTGTGCAACCTATGATGATGACTGAGACATGTATTAGGTTTGTGCATAGGTTCATTTCTCATGTGTTTGTGAACCGATAGATGTTTTGAACCGGTTACTTGCATTTCACAGTTGCCTATGCATCGAGTTTAGGGAGTTAGAACAAATGATTGAGCACCTAGGTAGCCATGTGAGACTTGTGCCATTCGTTTTGTTCTTGTGTGATAGTTCCCCCTTTACATGATGCGTAGCATTCACGTTGTTGCTAGAAGGAAGATGGAGGCATAGGTTTAGTCCATGACCCAAATGTTGACCGACCCGATCATATCATCCTTTAGTCAACCCCTTTGAGTCGTGTGTCTAAGGGTCATTCTCGTGTTAGGTATCTAGCACTACTTGAGATTGATTGATTTAGATAGAACGACCCTACTTTCTTCGTGTCTACACCGTTATCGAGTCACCCTTGCATTTGGAAGCTCCATTCATACCATTTGAGCTTAAACGAGGTTCCACATGAGTGATTTGTGTATGGTCTTGCTAAGAAGTGAAGTGAATGTGGAGGTAGTTTTTCAAAGTGAGCATTGTTCCTTAAGTTCAAAAACGCGACATGTGTATATAGCTCTCTATAGCCCCCAAAGAAAAGAGAAAAGAAGAGCAAAAAGAAGGGGGGAAAATGATCAATAAGAGGGCAAAAAAGAAAAGAGAGTGGCCACCAAAAATATAATAATTGTTGAACATGCTCTTAGAAGTGTTGCTTAGCATGCAAGCCATAGGAACACTTACATGTTGTTGACCTCTACACTCTTGTGCTTAAAATTGGATAGCAAATGTAGCAAGAAAGTATGCGTGATATGGTTTGGTGATTGGTTGTGGTCTGGAATAGTGGGAAGTGCGGTTTTTGGCCGATGCTAGTGGCCGTTGTTTGTAGGGAAGGTTCTAGTCGAAACCATAGAACCTTGTGTCTTAGGTTGAAGATTTGGAACCTCATGTTTTGTTTGCCACCACCCAAAAAGTATTTTCCCCATGTCCTAGACCCTAGCCAGTCATTTGAACATGTGTCTAAGACCTCCGGACAAGCTAGCAACGACACCCATCTTGTGAACTCTAACATTTAGAGGTTACCGTCATGATAAAGGGACGTTAGAATTGAGCGTGAATATGCACATATTTTGCATCAAATGGTCCTGACCCCACTAGTCGAGAGTGAGCGATTCTTCATCATGTTTTGTTCATTTCTTTGACCCCGGTGAGGACCAAGGTTGCTCGATCGTTCGTTCCTATGATGTGATCTTCATGCATGAGCAATTGTGATTGGTGAGTCGTCGAGGCATGTTGTGTGTTGGTTGATGAATATTGTGAGAACTCTTCTTTTGCACAATCTTAGTACAGTTGAATGTCGTTTGTGGTGGTTGCCAAGATTACTTTGTTTTTGCCCATAGCTCGGTGTCAAATAACCATTGTGATTCATTCGTCTGGTGCCCTAGGACATGCCCCAAAAATTGTGTTGAAAAAGAATTTGTAAGCTTACCTTGTTTTGTACTTGGTTTGCTTGGGGACAAGCAAACGTCTAAGTGTGGGGGTGTGATTCGGGCCCAAATGTACACATTTTACCCCTCATTTCTTATTCGTTTAGCTTAGTATTTTATCGTTCCTCGACATATTTCACGCTAGGTTGTTTTTGTTTTGATACATTTAAGGTCCTAGCACGTGTGGAAGGGTCAAGGTCGAATTTTGGGATAATTGGAGGTCAAAAAGTGCAAAAATTGAAGAAAAGCTCGTAACAGTGAAGTGAAGGTTTCCCAGGAAACAACCACAGTTCACGGCCGGATGAGGCAGTTCACGGTCTCCTAAGACCGTGAACTTCGACCACAAACCGTGAACACCGATGCGTCCAGCGAGGTTCCTGAAGTTACTGACGACAAGGCAGTTCACGGTCTCTAAGATCGTGAACTGTGGCCATTGACCGTGAACCCAGGAAGTAAGGCGGTGAGTTTTGGAGACGACTGAGTTCACATATGCATTTAGGTGTTCACGGCCGTGAACTGGCCAACGCGTCCGTGAACTGATCGCTTTCGGGAAAATATGAAGACAACAACAGGGAGAGAGAAAGGGGAGCTGGTTTTTGGAGAAGACTTGATTTCTTTCTCTAGGGTTTGCCCAAAAACACCAAAGGGGAGTTCTAGTGAGAGAGAGAGAGAGTGCTAGAGTGATCTTGGAGCATCATTAGAGGCTTGGGTGGAGATTCAAGCCTAGAAGAAGAAGAAGAAGATCTTGAGCTCAAATTTGTAATCCCTGTCTTTCTCTCAAGAAACTCACTCTTTTCTCTTTGGGTGTTGTAGATACCTAACTAATACTTTGTAATTACTTGTTTAGATTGAATGATTGTCATTGGGTATTGGTTAATTCAATGATTGAGGTAGTATTTATCATGATTGTGCATGCTTGTGCTTAGGAACCTAGGGGTTGTGCATGTTTTGTGCTTAGCATCCTTAGGTTTGTGCATTTTGGTTCATAGAAACCCAAGGAGTGTGCATAATTGTGCTTTGCACACTTAGGTTTGTGCATATAGGTGCTAGCAATCTAATTAGCCACCTAAACTAGGTTAAGTTAGGCCAACCCTCAATATTGGGTTAAGCAAATCGGTTAATCACGATTAAGCCGTCTGACCTTGGAGTTGGGTGAGGGAGTAAGATAACTACCAATTTTCTAAACCGAGAGGGACGAGTGATACGGCCTCTCATGCTTACCTTGGTTTAGCAATTGAGATTGTGGTCTACGACCATATTTGCATCCCTCTGCGGTCGCGGTTACCTTGCCCATAATAATCGTTTGAATCCAACAAGTCACGGTAGCTAGTTAGGGGGAAGCAATTCCTTGGCGAAGCTCCCTTAGTTAGGATTTTCCTTTATTTACTTTTCCTTGCTAGTTAAGTTTGTAGTTCCATTAGTTATAAACCCAAAAGTTGCTTGCTAGATAACTACCTAAGCGATTGAAGTAGGGGTACATGGATCGGACCGGGTTGACAATTTTAAACACTTGTTATATACTGCACCCGACTAGAGTTTAGAAACTTGGGCTCTAGTCGGGTTTAATCTGTGGTGTAGTTTCGTGCGAGTCACCTATTTAGCGGGGAACTATCTAGGGAAGACACGAGCTGCACTTCCTTCACTTTACCTGAATCTTCCCATATACCTACATCATTCGACATTTTTCGATTGTTGGACATTCTCCAAAACTTCCCTTCCAGGCTCTTATTCAACCCAAAACCCCTTCTGCTTGGGAACTCATCTCTTATTAGTGGGCTAGAGCTTCACAGTCATGGACAAAGATCTGGCACTTAGGACATACTAAAGGTAAATTCATATACTCCACATCTATATTGAAAAGTGGGTCTTCATAAGGATAAAATCTTACAGACTTCGGAAATCCAGAATCCGTTGCCATCTCAATACAAACCTTTGCGAATCCCAACTGTCCTCCTGTTTTGGTGGTTTGATCCATCCAGAGTGGAGGCCCCAGAGTACTTTTCACCTCTTAAGTCCCTCCGCATTGTTGTACTCCAGCGACAACCCCTTGATCCTCGCCCAGATCAGGAGAGTATCAACTGGGGGAACCACCGAGTGAATACCGGGCTTCCACTTCCTAAAAAACACCGGATTGCCCTGAAAATGCTATGGCCCTGACCGAAAAACCCAATCACTCATCACAAGCGACAAAAACCGAAACACAAGCAATCGCGATGGAAACTGAAACACAAGCAATCGCGGCCTAAACCTTGAAATTCTCACCAATCCATCCTACCCCCATAAGGTGTTCGCCCAATTCTGAACTAGGTTCGTCCTTTGGGGGGCTCCGATGAATTACTCTATTATGCAATCCTTCCATCGGGCTAGTCCTTTCTCCCTTGCCTCCTTCGATAAATGAAATCCATCACCCAATTTAATCAGAGGACGATAACAAAGTCGATTCTCAGCCGCTATTTTGAACAAACTGGACCTGAAAACCTTATCGAAAGGTGATCCTAGCAGCGGTGAGACCGCCATAACAGCGCTCAACCCTAAAATCAAGGAGGACAAAGATCAGAGATAATAAAAAAAACTTTTTTTTTTAAAAGCAATTTAAGCTTTTCAATATTGATATTTGTATTTGATTTTAGGGAAAAGAGATTTCACACCATTGTAAACACATTGATATTCGTAGGGATGGGATTAGGTGCTAACCCTTATAGGGGTTAGCACCGTGATAACTAGCAAAAAACGCTACTAAAAATAACGAAATCACTACGGATTATTATAAAATCAATACAACATCTAAGCTAAATCACTACTAATTCAAACTAGTAATAGTTTTTCCCTTGGTTAGGACGGTGCTAACTATTGTACAATTAGCACCGTAACCGCTCCCATATTCGTACATATTTGAGTTTAGGGGAAAAAAAGCAAGTGACGTCTTCAATGGACTGTATTGGTGTTGAAATCCCGGCCCGTATGGTTGTCGAACGGCCCAATTCAGTCCAATCCAAACCCGATGTCCCGCGTCTCCTCTTCTCTTATCTCTCTCCCGGTGAAAGCTTACTGGCTTCTCCGACACCACGACGAATGGACTAGACTTAGCTGCCACAATCCCATTACTTTCGTCCTCCTCGGCTTCCGTTTCAGAAACACCATCATGGCGGGAAGCACCGCCTTCACTTTCGCCTCCTCAAATGCCGTTTTCCGCTCTTCATTATCTTCGTCGCTTTCCTTCTCCACGAACCCTTTCATCATTCCCATGAGGGTTTCCCGCAGAACTCCTTCCCGCTCCAGTTTCCCAAGTACTTACGCTCTCAATTCTCCTTTTACTTTTGGGTTCAGATTATAATTCTGGTTACGGGAATGTGGATTTGCTGATTGCAGAGATTTACGCTATAACTAGCAATGATATCAAAGTGGGTACCCAGCTTGAAGTTGACGGAGCTCCATGGAAAGTCTTAGGTATTTCCACTTCTTCCCTTCTTCATCCACATCCGCTAATTCCTATCTTTCAGTTTCAGTTATGTTGGATGATAATGCGAGGGAATGGTAGGAGGAACTGTTTTGTAATGGGTTTCACCGAGTGTTTGCCTCGCGTGCAGAGTTCCTTCATGTGAAACCCGGGAAAGGGGCGGCATTCGTCAGGACCAAAATGCGGAATTATATAACGGGAAACACCGTCGAGAAAACTTTTCGGGCTGGAAGTCCGGTAATCCCCTTCCGAACTGTGTGAGAGTTTTGTGTGTGAGAATGGTTTTGTGAGTGGCACTTGACATGCTTACTATCTGTTTGATGATTTGTCTATGAGAAAGGGATGAATTGTTCAGAGTCATTTACTTGTAGGGAATATCAGGCCATCTAATAGCAATATTATGCTCCAACTATCCAGCTACACATACTTTTTCAGTCTGCAAGGCTATCTGCTGCCCTGTTGGATTATAGTTGTAGAAATATGCTGCTAATAACTAGATTTGAGCAGCATAAGTTTTTAATGATTTCCCACAAACACTAAGCTCTCCCCTTGTAGGTTAGTTGAGGCATAGTGCGAACACAGTTGCAGGAAGTTCGGTTTATCTAATATGCTCTTCTGTTTGTTGCTTGTTAAGATGGAAGAGGCAAATGTATTCAAGGAAACAAAGCAGTATACTTATAAAGATGGAGCTCAGTATGTATTCATGGACCTGGTAAATTTTCGCATCTTCTCTTTTCTTACTTCGTTTCCACTCAGAGTTTGCAGCCTTCTAGCAACCCTCATTGTTGCTTAATGGCTTCGATTTCGTGACTTGCTGATACTTCAGATAAAATGTGGTTCTTTCTCTATATCGCAAATTAGCAGCTTTTGATTTTTCTCAGACCACATATGAAGAATCCCGGCTGAGCGAATCAGATCTTGGAGAAAAGACCAAGTGGCTGAAAGAGGGAATGGACTGCAATTTGATATTCTGGAAAGGGAAGGTATTACTTGATTCCCTGTGCTCCAGACAAAGTTTCAATACTTTGACCTATCGTTCATACCTTGATTAAGCCCAGCAGCAATCACTTGCAAGTTTCAATCCTTAAATCTGCTCATGCATTTGCAGGTAATTGATTTTGATCTTCCAATCACGGTAAAGCTAGCGGTTGTTGATGTTGATCCTGGTCTTAAAGGTGACACTGCTCAAGGTAATGCTTTTGCCTTCTAGGAGAAGGCAATAGGATCTAATAAGTAATCCATAGGCAGAACTCTCTTGCACATAAACTTTATGTAGCTTGGCTCGGTCACTGAGTAACTTCTATCCTCTTTGGCAGGTGGAACTAAACCGGCAACACTCGATACAGGTGCCGTGGTGAACGTTCCGCTCTTTGTCAACATTGGTGACGAGATACTGGTGGACACAAGAACTGGGCAGTACATGAGCAGGGCGTAAAATTGAGAGTTTTCTTGCGGAGCGGTTTAGATAAGATGAGAGAGATGCAATGCAGGGTAGATTTTCTACGTTACTATTGTAATCTGTCAACCATGAGTTCATCTCAATAGTGTAAGTTTTGCATACAATTTACATAGCTGCTTAAAACTTACGTGTGTGGCTCATTCTGAGGAACCACACCTCGAACAAGTGCCGAGCTATAAACAGAAGAAGCTCCAAAATACAGGCATTGCCGATTCAGTTCGTCAATCAAACTGTCATATGACAATCTGGGAAGCTGTATATGGTTTTCTAACATGAGAACTAGAATACCAACTGCCTTATTTGCCTCCCTTCTTTCACAAAGAGTTCGAATCAAAATGTTCAGAGTGATTACTCTCGGCGTGCTACCCAAGTTAATCATCTCCCGCAAACTCACCAAAGCGTCGTCGACTTTATTCAACCGACAGAGGACCTCGATAACAACGTTATAAGCCCTGCAGTCTATGGTGAAACCCCTCTTTTTCATTTTCTCGAACACCTGGTGTGCAACTTGAAAAAGACCATCATCGGCCAGTGTCCTCCTATTGCACAAACCTCTCAGGAGATTGTTCATCAACCCTTCGTCAGCTTCATAACCGCAACCCACCATTTGCTCGTATATTAGGGCAGCAGCTGGAATTTGCCGCCACAGCAACAAACCTCGCAACAATGTGCTATAACAAACGTAATCAGGCGATAAACCTCTCTGTTCCATCTGCTGCAAGAGTTTGATTCCTTTGAGGGGCCTCCCTTCCTTATTATACCCATGGAACAGAGCATTGAAACTGACTGCCGTTGGCTGTAACTCCATCTCCAAAGCTTCCTTCATCAGTTCCATCGCCTCGTCTGATCGACCCACCCTGCAATACCCGTCCATCATCACCGTGTACGTGTACATATCGGGTAGCACAGTGGACAATTTCTTGATATCTTGCAGCAGCTCAAATGCTTCTTCCACTCTCCCCACGTAACACAATCCCTTGAGCAAGCAATTGTATGTTTGAACAGAAGGTTTCCTCCCCACCTTTTCCATCATGTCAAGAGCCCGAAACGCTTTCTGCAATTTCCCCCTTTGGCAGAAACAGTGGATTAATGTGGTGAAAACTGAAACTTCTGGCGGGGCACACCCACTGTCCAGCATCTGATTCAAAACCCTTTCCGCTTCTTCAACATCGTTTCTCTTGCAGTGGCATTCGATCATGGCTGAAAATGTGGACGAATCTGGCTCCAAGCCGTAGGATGATAATCTGGAGTAGAGTTGCAGGGCGAGGTCGAGGTTGAGCTTATTGCCCGCGACCAATGCATTGAGAAGGTCGTTGAAGTCTGAAATGCAACCAAAGTTGCCATCTTTCTCGAAATTGGCGAGTAGGGTACTCATCCGTCTACCAGGTAATGCTCTAATTGCAGCCACGAAGAGATTCTTCTCGAAACTGCCTCGCCACTGGTGGTCTCCTTCTTTTTCTTCGACGGATAAGGTTCGACAGTTGTCAATCGAATCGGTTTCCTTTAACCCATGCTTCTCCGCAGTGAGGCATGGAAGATTGGGATGTTTGGCCGCGGAAATCTTCGTGGATGTTGGTGGAAGGAAATTGACGGCATCAACTCTCGGGAATTTGCAAGTGTCGTTGTAGTTGCTGACGAACACAGGATTGCAGATTGAAGGAAAGCGGAGAATCGCAGACGGCGGAGGCATCATGATCATGGGATGAGCACCGAGGAAAAGGCGAGGAGACCTGAGAAGAGAGTGAAAGAGGAAGAAAGAACACTCGATTTGGTGAATCTGGAACAGTAGTGTGCCACTGCTAAAATCTTGGGTCATCCAAGAAAAAGCCCACCATGAAGATTGCCCACTTTCCCGCGTGCTAAGGAATTAACAGACAGTAAGTCAATAATAATGTAGGTCTTGCTCCCTTTTTTCTCTTAATCGATTCCTATTACCTAATTTGTTTGCTCATTTATTCTTTGGTGGGTCAAGATTTTGTTGCAAAGTGACGAGTTCGTATGTAATGTTGTCATCTTTTATGGTTTTACCAAGGAGAGTCAGCCATAGCCAGTCAAGTTAAGAGTTAAGAAGGGGTAAATTGCCCTCATTTCGAGGGCTGTTTTATTTAAAGTGCTGAAAGTGATGGTTGGTTACCCTCCTTCAATTTGACTGCTCACTGCTGGCATGGCCCATGGCGGCCGGCGAGGCGTTGCTAATTTGCTATGGTCGCCTCGCCTATTGGGTTTCTGTTCACCCACTCCAGGCATGAATTAGCCCAACCTCATCGAGTTTCTTCAACATTATGACCAGAGAAAGCTGCCCCGGTCACTCAAATTAACCATTATATATTGAACCGTCGACTTCCGATTACTTGTATACATCGTAAGAATAGATCATCATATTATAGCAAATCAAACAATAACATGAATAAAATCAAACACAGGAATAGTAATCACAAGTAATGATGATACGCCTCTGATCAGTCTCGCAGGCTGTCTGCCAGTTCCAGTCTGCCACTCTCAAATTCCAAAAAAAAGGGTATTCATCATTTCAAAACCTCACTGATCTGCTGAAAGCCTTGCACAATTTGGGACCCGAAAAGTCTGCCCTTTTCCCTGGGGCGGGGGCAGGGGCAGCAGCGGTTGCCTTGTTGACCGTCTTTCTACCCAGAATTGGTTTCAGCAGCTTCTTCCACAGCTTGTTAAAAGTAAAACTCGACCCACGGCGCCGCCGCTCCGGCTCGGTTTCCTGCCCGTGTTTCACCTTCGTCAGCCCAACTGCTGCAGCTCTCTGCTCTTTCCGATTCAAGGGAGTTCGGAGCCCGGATCGACCCGTTCCGGCCCCAGGTCCGACTCCAGGCTCCGACAGGCTGCGGGCCAGTATCGCTTGGTTAAGCTGCACCTCAAACGACAGCCTCTCGAACTGATCTAATAGACTGCTCTGCTCGTCTCCAAACCTCTTCAGCACAACTGCAATTTCTTCCATTTCCTTTTCCCCCCTCTCCTTCCCCAAATTCACATTACATCGCAGGTCTATTAATAGACACGGACTGGGAAGGAGAGATGAGATCCGACCCGACTAAGATTCGGATGGTAAGGAGAAAGGTTCTCTATATGTTAACGTTGTTGTGGGTCTCTCTTTTTACCTTTGCAAAATGTTGTGTCGTAGAAGCTGATCTGACCGTGGGGAGGGAAGCCGAAGTAGCCGCAATTGAACTCAAAGTATCGGAACCCCAAAAGACACCGACCGACGAGTGCTGAGTGGGAAATCTACACACTCACCGGCAGACACCTTTTCACTTTATCTTATTCTTCCCTTTTGCCTCTTCTCTTCTCCTCTCTGCGCCAAATTATGCTCTTGGACTTGGTTCCATTATATAGACTGGCTGCCTGCTTCAGAAAACTAAAAACGACGGGCCCACACATTTAAAAAAAAGGGCCCACGCTGAATGGGAAAACTGGGCTTTTACTAGCTGAAGGAAATCTGGACCTAACGTTCTTATCCGCTTTGTTATGGGCCTTGTCAGTCAACTAGGCCGAACGGAGGCCCAATTGGGCTGGCAATCACGCTTTCGTTACAGCGGGATAATCTCTGTCTTTCGCACCGCCGTTTGTGCGTGTCAAAGTCGAGCGTTTTTCCTTTTTAGTTGGTTTTCTTCCATCTCCGGCCGCGGCCATCGTCCAGTCAAAATTTCCACATGCTTGTCTTTGCTTATTCTTTCTATTCCATCCCTCCCTGACTATTGCGTTTTGAATCTCTGTCGCTGGAAATCGGGGAATTCTCCCACCCGGTAAAAGATCTAGATCCCGCGGGAATTCACGACGGCAATGGGCGGAATTATCCGTCGTCAGATCTGATCTCAGATTCGAGCTGTAAAGATTAGAGCAGCAGAGAAGTAGTGTTGTTTGCAAATGGGGCGGAAACGGGATGGATTCATTTCAATAATATTCCTGGTTTTGATCGTTGCCGATGTTTCCAGCGCGGCGAGGCTCTCCGGCCTCCGGAAGAAGTTGGCCGGATTGGTGACTCCTCAGGATTCCGGCGGAGCCCAAGTAAGTTTCTGGATCACTTCCTCTCCGTCGTTGCTGTTAATTTTCTTGCGGCATTGATTTGACTTATTATATGTGTCTTTCACTGCGAAGGTCTCTCCGTCGCCGACTCCAAATCCTGAAGTGGTTGATAAAAATAAGGCAACGAATGATAACACGACCGCAGGTAATTCAAATGTTGTGGAGAACCCAGCAAAGGAAAACCCGGTAACTCCAACTACAGCGGATAATTCAACCACGAAAACACCCGAGATGCCAAAACCATCGGCAAATCCAACCCCCGTCGGCTCCAATAGCACAGAAACACCTGCTCCTCCTCCTAAGAGTACCCGAGGAGCCGAGGAGGGTGGGAAGAAGGACGAAGAGAAGAAGACAGATACGAACAAAACAGTGCCCCAGCAGCAGCAGCTGGAGGGTGGAGAAAATTGTACAGGGTTGCCTACGAGGTGTACTGACCAGAATTCCTTGGTTGCTTGTTTTCTTCGTTTTAATGAGGGTAAGCATTGTGATCCGGAATTTCACCCATTTCTATTTAAAGGCATCTGGTTGAGTTTGATTCTTTTGTTAAGTGCGAATGGCTTTCCTTTTCTTCCACCGCAAGGCACAACTGGTAAAATCATCTCCTTGGCTCTATGTACTTCTATAAATGAAGGATATAGTATGTTGGTTGCGTTGTGTTGTGTTGGAGAATGAATGTGTCAGCTTTAGTTTTTTCCTTTGCTGCTAGAGACTTGATTTCTTATGTTAAACAGGATTATTGCTGATCGTAACTCCTGCTCCCTAGATAAATTGTATCTCTTTAGGCGATCTATGTTTTTTGGGCAATGAAAAGATTTTATTCAACTTTTTGTGTTTTCCTCAACTTTGTTTCCTACGAGGAAACTATTCAATTTGATGACTATTTCTTCCTGTTCCAGTTTGTACTGTTCTACTTCGGATCCCTTTTGGCCTATGTCACTGCCTCACTTGGGTGGAAGAGTTTGTCTATTACATCCTGGTTTGCAACCTGTTGTGATATTCTTACAGTCGTATCAGACTTGTCATTTCATTGATTTCTTTTTGACAGAGTCAAGGAGATTTGTTGTTCTAGTGCAAAATATCGGAGAACAAAATTTGAGTGTGGATCTCTCTGCTCCAAATCCATTGGACGATTCATCAATTCAAATCGGCAAACATCAAAGTACAAAGGTAGTGATTGTTATAGATACTGTGATTCTTCATAGTTTGACACCAACTGGATTATGTTTGGAAGTCACCCTAGAGGGTATTCACAACCTTGGTTGAGAAAGACATCCAATTCCAGATTCATGTTTGTCTAGTTGCAATTCCTTGCTGATTTAATGTCTGCAAGTTTTACATATCTTGAATTTAGTTATTGTGCATTGAGTGAGAAGACATGATCTGAATTGCCATTGATAATGAGCGTCCACCTTGTCACAATCTTGGTTGAGAAAGACATCCAATTGGCAATTCCTTGCTGATTTAATATCTGCAAGATTTTCATGTCATGAATTTAGTTTCTCTTGCATTGAGTTAGAAGACGTGATACGAATCACCATTGATACTGAGCGTCCACCTTGTAGCACAAAATCGTATTAGCCTCTATTTTTTAACTGGGGATGTCTGCTTTCATGTTCTTTCAGGTTAATTTACAAGTTGGCTTAGACATCCAATTGTAGATTCTTGCTTGTCTAGTTGCAATTCCTTGCTGATTTAATGTCTGCAAGGTTTTCATGCCATGAATTTTGTTTCTCTTGCATTGAGTTAGAAGACGTGATATGAATCACCATTGATACTGAACGTCCACTTTGTGACACAAAATCTTATTAGCCTTTATTTTGTAACTGGGGATATCTGCTTTCATGTTCTTTCAGGTTAATTTACAAGTTGGCAAAAGTGACCAAGTAATTTTAAAAGCAGGGAATGCAGAATGCGTTCTCCACATGGACCCCGGATTGATTCAGACTAGTCAGGCAGGGAACTTTGTCTTCCGTCTCCCTTCTTACAACAAGCTATTGACCCCTGTCAACGGTGCATACCTACTGATTCTCACAGTGGTTCTATTCGGTGTAATATGGGGTTGTTGCTGCTTGTTTAGGAAGGGCAGAGTAGCACAGGGCGAATTGCCTTATCAAGAACTCGAGATGGCTGCCCCAGATAACGAGTTACCTAACGATCTGGAAACGGCAGAAGGTTGGGATGATGGTTGGGATGACGACTGGAACGATGATAACTCAGTCAAGTCGCCAGCTGTACGAGGGAGCATCTCCGGCACTGGCCTCACTGCTAGATCTTCAAACAGAGACTCATGGGATAACAACTGGGACGACTAGGATTTTTGCATGTGAAGACACATAATCTCACCGAGGTAAAAAAATGAATACCAGATACACACAAAACAAGAAGTAGATGATTTTATTGGTCCGAGTTTCAAATGTAAATCGTTCTGAAAAGGTTTGCTGTTGTTTTCGACGGTTTTTGTAGTTGTGTAATCATATGAGCGCCTAGAGATGTGCTTCAGATACTTGTCATCTCATAACTGAGGTGGCCGGTGGGAGATGTTTCATGGCCTTCTGTAAAATTTTACGTTGTTTTTTTATATTACTGAAAGCCGTTTATATTGCAATCCAAAAGAAAGAGGGAAGTGAAGCTGTAAACAAGTCCGATAGTTGGTCTAGAAATATGATATTCGAAGAGAATTATGAGCTAGTGAGACCTTTTCTCATCACAGACTTATTCAGTTGGAAACAACGACGTCATAAGCCGCCTCCGCCTCTTGTGAATCGTTTTAGAATAATCCATCACTGAATTTCAAAACAAAGATTTGAAAGTGGAACGAGTTCAGGCTCAAAGCAAAATGGGTTACAGATTAACTGTCAAACAGTGTACAGAATACGAATATGTGGTTTCGAATAAACAAGATCTATTTGCTAATCACTCCATCAGCTCTTGACCATCTGCAGGACTTTGTATCAACTCCAAGATCTTCACAACCTCTTCCATATCCGGCCGATTCGACGGCACCTGAGACGCGCAAATCAGCCCAAGCTTCACCACCGGAATCGCCTCATCCGCAGGGAATTCAGCTCTCAGCCTAACATCGACACATTCCTCCAACCTCCCATCTTCCAGCTCTCTCCTCACTACATCACTCAGAACCACCACGTCATCCTCCATGTACTCCACCGGTCTCTTCCCGGTCACCACCTCCAAGACCAAGATCCCAAATCCATACACGTCACACTTCTCCGTTATCTTCACCGTCCGACAAGCAAACTCCGGCGCCACGTACCCCAAAGCACTCTGCACTTTCCCGCTCAGAATGCATCTGTCCAGCGTGGGCAGCAACCTTGCCAGCCCAAAATCCCCTACCTTGGCCTCGCCGCCTTCGTCCATCAGCACATTACTCGATTTCAGATTGTAATGAACAACATCCATGCTATGCAAATGTGCAATCCCCCTCGCCATTCCTAAAATCACATTGAACCTCTGCCGCCACGGTAGACACCTACTTGCTTCATCGTGAAGATTCTTATACAAGCTTCCCCCGGATACACATTCGTGAATGAGAAGCTGCAGCGACGGAGTCCAGTAATAGCCTTCCATCGCCACGAGATTACGGTGCTTCACTTTCCCAAGCTTCTTCACTTCTCTCTCGAATTCGTGCTGGGATTTCACCAGACTCGAAACTGCTAGCTTCTTGATAACCACGGATCGACCATCTTGGAGCAGAGTCTTGTAAGCGACTCCAAACCCGCCACGCCCGATTTCGAAGTCCTTGTTGAGCAAATCATGACAACCGGCAAGAGAATCGGCCTTTCCAGAGAACATGACGAGCTTGCCATAGTTTGAATCACTACCGGACGAATAACAACTGAAGTCTTCGCCACCACCGGAGAATGCTACTGCTGCTGCTGCAGCTGTGCGTGAGATGGACGATCTGACGTGGATGTTGAGGAGGGTGATAGCTATAACGCTGAGGGTGATGAAGGCGGCTGCACCGATTGCTATCAGAGCCGAGATGCTTAGCACGACTTTTCGATGATAGTGATGGCTCGATGAGGAATCGGGAGATGAGTCGGATGATGCAGAGTCGGGGTTAAGGACTATTGGCTTGAGATGGTTGGAAGGGCATGATCGTTTGACTACGGATCCACATAATGAAGGGTTATGTGATACAGATGAAGGTGGGATGGAATTGAAGAAAGCACCAACTGGGAGCTCTCCTTGCAAGTTGTTGTGAGATATGTTGAAGGATAAGAGGTGGGAGAGATTGGTTAGCTCCTTGGGCAAGGTACCGGTGAAGTTGTTGAAAGATAGGTCGATGAACTCGAGGCTGGTGAGGTCTCCAATGGCTGCTGGGATTGGACCTGTGAGTTTGTTCTTTGACAAGATTCTGCAGCAGATGAAAGGGATTAGAATCCGATGTCGCAACACGAAATTTCAATGACAGGCTTGAGGAAGAAGGTAGAAAAGAGAAGCAGACTTACAGGGATGTTAGAGAGGAGCAGTTGTTGATATCAGACGAAATGTTGCCTGTGAGCAAGTTGTTATTCAAGTTGAGTTTCACTAGTGAAACTGCTGCACCAATTTCAGAAGGTATGGTTCCATTCAACATGTTCGAACTTAGATCAAGCACCAGCAAGCTAGCGAGAGCACCAATGCTGGGAGGGATTTCACCAGAGAGGGCATTTGAAGACAGATTTAACGCCTCGAGGTTGTGAAGAGCAGCCAAGTTGAACAGCCATGAAGATAGGTTACTACTGGCAAGCTGATTGCGACTGACATCTAGGCTGAAAAGGTTGCGGCAACTGGAAATAGACTCTGGCAAATCTCCCAGGAGCTGGTTCATTGACAGATTCAAATGCTTCAGCTGACTAAGTCTGCCTATTGAGGTGGGAACAATGCCGGAAATGTTATTAGCAGAAAGATCCAGACTTTCTAGGCTAGTGAGTTCTCCTATCCAATGGGGGACTTGTCCTGTGAATGAATTTCCGGCGAGACTCAGAGACACACAGGACTTAAGCTTGCGCAATGTCTCCGGTAAGGGACCAGATAGGGAGTTCTCACTGAAGTCGACTTCTTTCACAGCCGGGCAGCTTCCTATATCAGGCGGGAGCTGGCCGGAGAAGCTGTTCTTCCTGAAACTAACGGTTCTCAAATCGGGCAAGCTCGAAATTCCTCCAGGAATCTCTCCCTCCAGCGAATTATCAGACAAATCAAGAGATTTAATCCCAGTCAAAGACCACAAACCAGTGGGAAGTTCACCTGAGAGACGGTTGAAGGAGAAATCGAGCGTCGAGAGCGTGGAGCAAGCTGTCAAGGAAGCTGGAATCCGGCCGGTTAAGTCGTTTCTGGCGAAGGAAACGAACCTGAGGGAGCCGCATTGCTGGAAGAAGCCGTCGGGGATTTCCCCGGAGAGGTGGTTGTCGGTCAAGTCGACGACCCGAAGACCTGGGAGCAGGCGAGGAAGATCGGGGTTTATCTCGCCAGTGAAGTTGTTTCTGGACAAGGAAAGAATCCGGAGGAACGGGAGACGGAGGAGGCCATGGCCAATGTGGCCGGAGAGGGAAAATCCGTCGAGAAGGAGATGAGTGACCCGACTGGTAACCGGGCTGCATTGGATTCCGACCCAGTTGCAGGGAGTCGGGTCGTCTTCGTTCCAGGAAACGAGCTTGGAATGAGGGTCGCTGAGTCCCGCTTTGAAGACGATTAGGCCCAGAACGTCATCGTTCAGCGTCGGGTCAAGAGAGTGAACGCCGGCGGCGGAGGCCAGGAGGAGGAGGAAGAGGAAGAATTTGAAGCAGAGCATGGTTGCAGTAAGCTACTAGTGAAAGTTAGCTAACTTGCTCCCATGAAAAATTGAAAATGCGAAGAAGGATGAGGAGAGGGAACAAATGGAAGTGGGGTGGGCGGCGGGGGTAGAAAAGGGGGAACCCTAGAAAGAAGAAAGGGTAATCAGGCGCGGAAGTGGAGTTTGTTTAATCCCGCCATTGCTAATGGTGATTGTAGCACTAAGCTGGGGAAGAAAAGAGTCGCAGGAGAATGGTAGTAAAGCGCCGTAGTGTGGCAGTCGCAAGGGCCAAGGGCAGAGAGAGAGAAAAAAAAGTGTCCATGACTCGGGGCGGGGCTCCATTAGAGTCCAAAGTCCGAGAAAGTAAGAGAGAGAAGGACATTCTGTCTTACCCTTAAAATATAGAAAAGAAACCAAAAGAACGGCCATTACAGAGGAAAAAGGAGAAAGAGGACCACTGCTGCCTGCTGCTCTCCAGTCTCCACTGCCACACCACTCTGTCCATAATTCGAAAAAGAACTTCTTTAATCATTAATCAATCTCAAGTTATTAAAAATTCACATACAAAAATTGGAATTGTTCTCTCTATTTTCTCTCTAAAATCGATACCTAATCGCGTCACTTTTTTCTCTCATGGCGGTCGTCACCGATGGTGTTGTTGCCGTTGGTGACGGTCGATCATGGACATCCTTGTTTGGTATAGCTCCTGAAAATAGATTACATTATATTGAGGCAGAGTATGTGAATGGGTCTCTTCGGATTCCACTCAAGGTCATCGAAAAAGGAGCGAAGGTATGGGAGCATAGTTTGGTTGGTCAGTTCCTTAGGCGTCTACCGTCGATTTATGCAATTAGGTATTGGGCGAACTGACTCTTAGGAAGAGATGGTGAGGTGCGGGTTTCTTGGTTAGGTAATTGATTTATTATGTTCAAATTTCCTAATACTGAAATTTGTCGGTGGGTTTTGTCACATGTGGCAGATGACATAGCGCCAACAAGGTGGCAACATGGCATGTGCATGTGGCAAGATGGAAGACTAGAAGCAAAGAGATGCCTCCAGGATTCTCCACCTAAATGAGTGCTTAATGTTGCACTTATGATGAGTCACATAATGTGTGACATTATTAGAGTGCATTATGGGGGAACTTAATGAGTGTATTGATGTAGAGGAGAGACATTATGAGGGGCATTGATGCCTTTTATGAGAAGAGGTCTATATGAGGAGTCATCTCCCTCACTTGGAAATAATTCCATCATTTTTATAGAGTAATACATACTAGAGAGTTCTCCCATCTTCTTTGTCTTTCTTCTTGCTTTCTTTGCTTGCACGAGAGTTTGAGAAAAGGTTGCTTAGTTCTCTAATGGAATTGAGAGCTAAGGTCGCACGAGCAAGAGTAAGGACGTGACACTTTTCGAAAGAAGCCATTGGCATCTTCGGGATAATCTTGTGTGCTTGCGTAAGTGGGAGTTGGGAATTAGACCATTATATATTGATAATTCTGCTATTCCTTTGCGGGTTCGATTGTCAAACATTCCTGCTGAACTTACCTCTAAGGAAGAGTTTGGTTGAATAGCAAGTTCTTTAGGTAGGCCTCTGGGAATGGATCTACCAACTCGGAAGCGTGCAAAAATTGGGTGTGGTAAGGTCTGTATTGAAGTAAAGGGGAATTGTTTTCCCCAGAAATAGCACCCTAAAACTAAAAAATTCCAAAAATCCCACTCATTTCAAAAAATCCCATCCCTGCCACCCTTTCACATATCGCAATGTAGGGCAGCGGTTTTCATATGAACCATCAGACAGGGTGGCGATTTTCATTTCAGTCACAAACCGCTAGGTCAGATGCCAGTTTATTGGCTGCCATAGAACAAACTGCGGGTAGCCTAGGTTGTTCTAGGTTGGCAAGAGAAACCGCCACCTGTCCCAGTGGTTTTCATTGAACATTTTGCCTATAAAAGGAGGATACGGAAACCCCAGCTCTTCACTCCCTCTCCTTCTTCTTCTTCTTTAAAATTTTGTTCTACTCCATACTTTTTTTTGTTTTTGCGATTAACCTTACTTTGTCAGTTTATTTTGTATTACTTTTTATTGCAAATGTCTTTCCAAACGTTCACGCTTGGGTTACGGTGGAATGATTACACGGAAGAGACTAGAAAGAGGGTACGTTACGTTGGTGGTTCTTTTCAGACAGTGAAGGTTGCTACGAGACTGAACCTAGAAGAGTTCCGTCAAATGTGTACTACGGTTACTTGCATGGAGGGCACGAGGAGAGTTGACCGTATGGTGTATCGGTATCCAAACATAGAAGGTGTGTCATTGTGGCATGAGGAATTGCTCATAACCAATGCAGTTAAAAGCGCAATTCTACCTAGAAGCGAAAAATGAGTAAAATCGTAAAACGTAGAATCAAAGCGTAAAAGCGTAAGTTTTTGACGCACCCTCTAAAATAGCTAAAATATGTTAAGTACAACATATAATATGTAAATGTGAGTGTGTAGATGTTTGTTTGCGCTGAGTAGGTGGAGGACATCCTGCAGATGGCCAAACATCTGGTATCACGGTGGGGGTGGAGTATATGAAGATCATCTCTGCCAACCGTTCATATTCTTCTCATATGAAGTTTGTGGATGATCGTTCATACACACCACATCGCCATCGATGGGAAAATGGGTTAGGATGACGATGCCCTTCAATGTCATGGTGCACTCTCCTTCACGAAAGTTGAAGTTGTGTGTGTCCTTTCGCCATCTCTTCATCAATGTTGTAATGAGTTGACAGTCGAACTTTATGACGACAAAGTGTCTGATAGAATCCAACCTTGCCCTTTTCAGAATAGGCAAGATAGCGTCGTTATATGAGAGCACATCGCTCATACCCCTATAGCAGACAATATGGTGTGCACTCTAGCGAACAAAATTACAACCATAAGTTTATGATTTACTAATAAATACAATAAATCTATTATAACAAGCAAATTAAATTAACAAAATGAATATCATTTTCAATATATATACATAAATTTCTTCATATCAAACATATTCAATTAACTAAAATGAATAGTATTTGAAAGATTTACACATAAATCAATTAAACTAATTAATTGAAATTAACAAAATGAATACCATAGATTTTTTGGAAGATATACACATACACATAAATCCATTATATTATTTTGTAAATCGTATTGGTTGTTTTCAATGATTTAATCTAATACAAGTATACTCGTTAGACTCTTAGGAGAGGTATACATCTCCTTAGAAACACAACATTTATTCCATAAAAGGGGGGATCTGAGGATCAGGAGAGCGCCGTCTTCCTTCTCCCGTCTTCGTGGAGTCTGTGGTTCCCTACTGCCGCCGGCAGCTCTTTACCTCGGATCTGGTCCGTAGGTTTCTTTCTGTCTTCCCCCCTCAGTGTTACTTTGGATACGGTGACTTGTGTAGCGGTGTGGTTCTTCTTTTGTTTGTTAGACGTGTCAGGCTTGTCAACCCTCATGGCGGAGGAGATTGATGAACAGCTGCGGAGCCTCTGTTTGACGGAGGATGAAGCGCAAGGAGTACGAGTGGAAAAGGAGGATCTGAATAGCGGTATGGACGAAACCATTGAAGAGCTGGGGTTGGTGGGCAAGCTGCTAACGCCCAAAGACCCAAACCTGGCAACACTATCGGCGACGATGAAACAAGCGTGGAATCTGAAAAGAGGATTCGAGATTCAGAGGATAGAGAAGGCAATATATGCTCTACAATTCTATAGCTATGACGACAGGAAAAAAGTCCTATATGGAGGTCCGTGGCACTTTAACCGGCAACTCTTTATTTTTCGACCGGTGGACAGGGATAAAGAACCGTCGGAAATGGATTTCTGTGAGACAGAGATATGGGTTCGGATTAAAAAGCTACCCCGCTGTATGAAAACAGAGGCGATGGCAGAAAAGATCGGTAATCTGATCGGCACCTTTATCATTCTTGATAATCACCGGTCGGGGGTATGGAGCACATCCATGAGAATCAGAGTATCTATCAATGTCGAGAAACCATTGCGACGAGGAGTATTGCTGGAGAACGGTGACAAGAAAGCCTGGTACAGAGCAACCTATGAGCGACTCCCAAATTTTTGCTACAATTGCGGCATACTCGGCCATCAACAGAGAACGTGTCCAAACCCAAAAGCAGAGGACGAGGAAGGTTCTGATGAGCAATATGGTAAATGGTTGCACGCCTCCCCGCTGAAGAAGGTGAGTGTTGTCGAGCGTACTGAAGCCGATAGGATGTCAAGTCTCTGGTCGGAACTCCGGCAAACAAGTATCTCCGGCGAGACACGGTTTAGGAAGGATGACAGGAGTACGCCGGGATTAGAGGAAGCGGGAAAAGGAAAGACAAAGGCGAGAATCAAGTTGATTGATTTATTGGAAGGAAAGAAGGCCGACCCAAAAAAGGCAAGCGAGATCGCAGATATGGATCTGAGTGAAGGAAATAAGGAAGGTAAGGAATTTGGGAGTGGAGTCACAAAAGGAAAGGATGCCTGCATATCACTGGAGGAAGAGACAGAGGAGAAAGGAAGGGATGAGGCTGGCTTAGTTTCCTTTAATGAGAAAATGGAACCCTGCGGAAAGACTCTGGATCCGGCCCAGAAGTCGGTATACCCGGCTAGGGGCGAGGAGGCTGAATTGGGCCTAAGTAAGGGTGAGGCAAATAGGACAGGGGAAGCCCAATGAGAGAATGGTAAATTGCTACAGGCTGGGGGCAGAATTATGGACAAGGCCCATAAAGAGGGTATCAATCAACCCAATAGTAACATAGTGACAGTGCCCAAGATGAAAGTAGGCTGGAAGAGGTTGGTTAGAGAGACTACTCAGGGGGTGGTGGACGGGCTGGAAGGCAGAGAAAATGGCAAGAGGAAGGATAGGGAGGATAAACAGGAAACGTTGCGGAAGGAGGTGTTGGGAGGAAACAAAAAACAAAAAACGGCTGCTCGAGGAATCGCGCCGAACCCAGAGGCGGACCTTGCCGAAGAGCAAGGCCGCCTACCACAATGAAAATCATCAGCCTTAATTGCCGGGGACTGGGGAATCCCGAGGCAAAGGCGTCAGTGTCCCAGCTTGTGAAGCAGGCTGCTCCCCAAGTTTTGTTTCTAATTGAAACAAAGCTTTCTGAATCAGAATGCAAGAAGTTTCAACAAAGACTGAAGTTTAGGAATGGATTAAGTGTGGCGGCTCATAACTCTGTCGGCGGGTTGGCAATATTCTGGGAAGAGAATGTGGACTTTTCGTTGAAATCGCTTTCTTCAAACCACATTGACGGTATTATTAAGTGCCCGAACAAGAATGTGGAGTGGAGACTTTCTGGTTTCTATGGCTGGCCGGAGAGCGGACAGAAATACCGTTCTTGGGAACTCCTTCGTAACTTACACAGCCAATATTCCCTCCCTTGGCTTGTGGTGGGCGACTTCAACCAAATCGCAAATGGAAACGAGAAGCGTAGTAGAGTGCTGCCTGACGAAAAGGAAATGCAGCAGTTCAATAACACGTTAGCAGATACTGAATTGGGAGACTTGGGCTTTACGGGCTATCCGTTTACTTGGGATAATTCAAGAAAACAGGAAGCCTTTATGAAAGAAAGACTGGATAGGGCCGTATGTGATGTAAACTGGGCCGACTTATATCCAGATGTCATTGTTAAACACCTGGGCCGTTTTGACTCGGACCACAGGGCAATTCTCGTGGACACAGAGGGTGGAGAGTGCGAAGAGATTAGGTGGGGCTGGCGCTTCAGATACGAGAGCGTTTGGGAAGATGATGAGGAGTATCGGCAGGTGATTCAAGAGGGTTGGCAAGAGAGTGAGGCTGCCGATGTAAATCAAAAGCTGAAGAACTGCGAGATGAAGCTTAGGAATTGGAGTAAGGAGAAATTCGGGAAGGTTAAGGAGCGACTGAAGCAGTTAAATCGTTCACTAGAAGCCATGGATAGCGAGCAGAAGATAGGGGATTGGGTTGAAAGGAGGAGACGATTGGAAGCAGAAAAAGTGGAAATTCTCCTGCAAGAAGAGAAGAAATGGCTTCAACGGTCGAGGGTATTTTGGCTAAGAGGAGGAGATAGGAATACGAGGCTCTTCCACAATAGAGCCTCAGAGCGCCGGCGTCGGAACTCAATCAAGAAGCTCATCGATAGTCAGGGGAGGGTGCATCTGGGTCAGTTGGAGGTAAGCTCGTGTTTACGGAGTTTCTATGTGGATCTTTTCCAGAGTGGTGGGGATTCGGAAAGTGAACAAGTAGTTGCAGCAGTAAATCAAAGGGTAACTGCAGATATGAATGGCTGGCTTACAAGGAGTTTTACTGAAGAAGAAATTGAGGCTGCTCTGAATCAAATGGGATCCCTCAAAGCTCCAGGTGATGATGGTTTCCCAGCTCTCTTCTATAAAACTAACTGGGAGATGGTGAAGAATAGAGTGACTGGAGAACTGCTGC